CTGGCACATTCAATTTTTATCCAACATCGTTGTTCTTGTTTTGAAAACATCCTAACAACACTTACTCTAGACCGCGAGCTAATACAAGGATCCGTTCTTCGCGTCACTTCGCATGTGTGTGATGTGTGCAGGACGAGTCTTTTTTGCTGCGAGGTAAGGTAGGTAAGTAGTGTGGTATACGCAATATTCTTTGGTTTTGTTGCATAGCGTTTTTCAGCTGTGTTGCCACTATTAAAGTTCCAACCCTCGTATCTCGCATAACTCAAAAACCAGTAGCCTCAGAACGTTGAAATTTTGTATATAGGACTGCTATAACATGTAGATGTGTACCTCGTATTATATATATATCCACTCTGTTACCCGGCTTAGTGATCTCAGTTTCTTTCTTATATGTTTGTAAATTGTACATTTTTTGCTTTAAAAATGATTGAATTATGTTGTTCTTATCTTCCGGTTAAGATTTTTATGCCTTTAGTAAATCTGTATTGAATATTTTTAGAATTATCAACAATTTTAAAGTTGTTTAACCTGTTAACTGGGGAATAAGCTTTCAGTAAAATCGTTTCACAATGGGGACTTTTTCCTTTGCAGTAATTTCAGCACATCGCAAGGAATAAATAAAAGAATATCGCATTAAAATATTTAATGATATTAAATATTAAAATTAAACATTTTTAATCCGGATAAAAACAAATTAATTGAACGAATTTAAACAATTATTTCGTATGATATTCCCTAAAGGCAATGCGGCATACACAAAGCAACATTGCAGTCGGGACACCAAAATCTCGATTCTTTCCTAAGACCTTTGGAATAGCATAATTTGCATCTCCTTGTTACATTTACTCTTGAAGAGTCGGATGGTACATAGTCTGCAAATGTCTGAAATGTTTGAAATGTCTTTCAAAGAGTCGAGATGGTTTTGGTGTCAAAGATGATCGTCCTGTACTAGTAGACGGCAACTGCGATCCGTCTCTATATTTTTCAACACTTTTTCTACAGTTTCGATAAGGAAATGAAGCCTATCTAGGTGACCGCCATCTTTCTTGCATAAAAGATATGCACTCAAACCCACCATGTCTAGTGCATGTAAAAATATCTTATAGTGATACTTTTTTACTTGGTTTCTAGCGATTTCATAAGTTTTCATTTGTCCATCAGCAAGATCAACTCCTCCCATATTTTTGTTGTAGTCAGCGATAACTTCCGGTTTTGATCTCGTTTTCCTTCGTTTTTCTATTTCTACAAATTTATTGTCATGGATAGTACTCAATATAATTACATCTTTTTTGTCTTTCCACTTCATAATCATTATTTTGTCTCTGTACCTAGCAATGTATTAATCTTTTTTCAAAACACAATTTTTGATATCAGATGGTATTCTCTTTCTATTTTTTCGGATTGTTCCTACAACATCGGTTTTTCTTCTGCACATCTTCTCAGCTAGATCAGTACTAGTGTACCAATTATCGGGGTATAGCGTATATCTTTTATCCAACAAATCGTGGCACAATTCAAGAGCAATACGATTTGGTCCCTGTTCTTCTGGATAGTTTGAACCATACTGTGTGTCTTTACCTGTATATATAATGAAATCACTTATGTATCCGGATTTACTTTCACATATCTTATACAATTTAACACCAAATTGACTTCTTTTCGATGGAATGTACTGTTTCCAAGACTGTCTTCCTTTCCATAGCAAAAGAGACTCATCTACAGATATTTCCTTATCTGGTACGTATAACACCTTGAATTTGTTTCTCAAATAGTTAAAAATGGAATCGATTTTGTAGGTTTTTTTGTTGCACACTTTTAGATCGAAAGCATTGTTATCACTAAAATGTAAAAATTTTACTAACAGTTGGAATCTTTTTCTGACATAATTTTATAAAAAAATGGAGTCTCCAGACTTTCTCGCTTTGTGAAATAAAGCCGATAAGAAGGTTTTCCTATTATTCCTCGCAAAATTTAAGTTGTGCAAATTTGGAGTGTTATCACAATTTATGAGCGGACAAGTGTTTCCATTGATCGATTTTTCTTGAACAACGGTCAAGTGACAGATTGCAAAAAAAATTTAAGAAAAATTTCGTCATGCCCATTGAAATAGTCTTCCCAGCATGACGAAACATTTCGTCATACCCATTGAAATACTCTTCCCAGCATGACGAAACATTTCATCATACCCATTGAAATAGTCTTCCCAGCATGACGAAAAATTTTGTCATACCCAGTTAACAGATTAAGTGCCGCTAAGCCTAATAATTTTTTAGATGGCGGTCATTGCTTGTTTACATTTGAAACAGCAGGATAGTGGATTTGTTGCCAATCTACAGAAACTTAGCTTCACAACAACAAAGATAACGCCTTCATTTATTATTGCGAATTAAATCATGCTTAATCCTTTCTGGAATTTTTTCGAGGAAATAAGTGTTTAAGATTTACTTTGAATTTTTAATACAGATATTTTGAGTTTTTATGTATTTTTGCCTTGTCGCGAAGTGAGAACAGAATTAATTGAATGAGAAATACTCAAACGTCTGTGAAAAACTGTTTCCTTTTTATTTTATTTGCTTAATTTTTTTTATAGATCGTTCTAGCTTTATTATAGTATTTGAATAGAACGTATGGCAACGATTAGATAATTCTTTAACTGATATAAATTTTGTGCATTCTGAGTTATATGAATGAAATATAATAGTGTTAAGTGAACCTAGCTCCAGAGTGTCGCTATGGTAAACAAATAGAGTGAATTTTAAAGAATGCATTTATTCTATTAAGGTTTATGCGTTGTCGGCGAAGTAGATTTAATTCAATCCAATAAGTTTAAATGAAATGCCAGAAAAAATGCGTATAATTTAATATTCCGTACAAAGAAGTCATGTGGTGTACACATCAGATTTTTTAATGAAGATGTTCCATATTTTTGTGTATTTTTCTCTCGCTGCGAAGTAGGAACTGAATTAATTGAATGAGAAATATATCTCTAATGAAATTTGAAGAAATACGTTTAAATGAAATGCACGAAAAAGGCCATATAAGGAAGTCATGTGGTGTCTACATTATTACTTCCTTCTATGAAGTAAAGGAAGTATTGGAAACACTAAAAATTTAGGATAAAATATCCACCAAATATTCATTTTGACAGTTCTCGAATCCATTTGAACAAGGTTTCTGCATGATATCTGTACATGTGAACAGAATAAAGGACTCTTTTTTTCCAAAAACGACTGAGAAGATAGTTTTGTTGTGAGGTCTGTACATACATATGTATGTATTTCACATAACTCAAAAACAAGTAATCTCAGAACCTTGAAATTTTGTATAGAGAACTTCTGTAACATGCAGCTGTGCACCTCCTTTTTTGGGTAGCATTCAGTGGCAACCAAACATATATATATATATATATACACACACACAATTGTTATCTGGCTCTGTGAGCACATTTTTTTTTTAATTTTTATATGTTGGTAAATTGCGCATTTTTTGCTTTAAGAGTGATTGATTTATGTTGTTCTTATGTCCTGGTTAAGGTTTTTATGCTTTTAGTAAATCCCCATGTAATAGTTGTAGAATTATGAACAATTTAAAAGTTGATTAAGTGGTGCCATGCCTAATGAAATCACCATTTGCTTACATCTAAAACTCTTAATGGAATAGTGAATTAAGTAAGATTTTGCACCAACTTGTGTCCATTGGAACCAAAAGTTAATTTGCAATTTTGTACATCGAAAATTTGGTCTTCCTGCCGGTTGGCCTAATTGCTTGTTTGAGGTTTTTTTTTAAATGAAGATAATGAAATAAGTTTAAATAATATGTACAATTTAATAAGCCATTCAAGAAAGTCATGTAGTGTGCACATCTAATTTTTATCTTTATTATGCAAACACCTTTTTTGTAAATATCTCTGAAATATGGAGCAAGTACAAAGAAAATGGTAGTAAATATCCAGACACTAAGCATCTATTCCTAATCAATCAATGCAGACATCAGACTGCATTTACAGGCAAAAAAGCAACTGACTACTGGATATATTGCAGGTCCAAATAAAAATTAATCTCAGTTCACAGTTCATCAGATTCTACTGGATATGGAACTCTGCACCAGATGCCCCTCTTATATTGTGTGGCTCTGCTAACTCAGCATTATCAACTTTCAGACAACATTGGCCTTATGAACACCATGAGAGGACTGTGCAATAATGGAAAAGAATTGCCTGATCATATGAATCATGATTTCTTTCACATTACATTCATGCACAAATCAGATATAACGTTTTCCCTGCAAACATTGATTAACACATATACTCCACAACATAAGCTGACCAGTGGTAGAGGTATTACAAATTGAGTGACGGTTCCATGGGTATCTCTGAGACCAGTAGTTGTAAAGTTTGTTATGACAGCTGTGATCTTTGTCAAGATCATTGCTGACTACTTATACCCTTTCATGATCTTTTTCTTCACCACCAGATAATAAGACTCAAGTAAGATTCTTTGTCATATTACCAGAATTACACTAGAGGATTTGAAGAACATAATGATGAATTTCAGTTGTTTTGATTTCCTAACTCATTGGGAATTAACCTTATTGAGCTCATATGGGATGCCATGGAGTACTAGCTCAGACCTCAACAATCACCTCTTTGTGATCACCTTTGCCAGCAAATCTAATATAATAAATTTCTAAATATTTAGAAAAGGCTTGCAGAATGTATGCCATAATAGGTTACAACTGTTGCATAAATCATGAAGCAAAGTCTATTAACAACGTGGTTACGTTCTGAATGATCAGCACATAACCGATCAGCGCAATATATATTTTTCAAATTAGATTTATGTATAAGTTACATTTCAGTAAGAAATTATGGAACAAGGAATTTATAAGTAATAATCTGTGAGGAAATTTCACAATTTGCAACCTTCCCATTATACAAAGAACATGATACCTATTATACAAGAATTTTGTTTATTTAACTGTACGATTAAATTTCTACTTACCCTTTTTTAAGCATTCTGAAAAATACTGCCATGCAGGTCGATCTTCTGAATATGTAAATGGAGTTGCATCATAAATTTTACCACTTAATGCGCCAGCTTTACCAGCCATGCTTTCAATCATCATACCTACAATTCAGAAATAATTTTATCCCAAAACAAGTGAGCAAACATTTTAAAACTATAAAAACTGAATAATTTTTTTGGAGGGTCGAGATATATACAAGTATATTGATTAATAAAAAAAAATTTAAAAAAAGGACGAAACCTTTATAAAGCATCTTAGGGAAACTGGTTCCTATTTTTATCATGTATAGGGAAACAAGTATATTGAATAATAAAAAAAAAATTTTAAAAAAGGACGAAACCTTTATAAAGCATCTTAGGGAAACTGGTTCCTATTTTTATCATGTATAGGGAAAATAATGAAAATTTATATGCTGCTTTCTTCAGCTATTAAAATCCTGGCAAGCTTTCTTTTTTGCATAACTGTGATGAGTTAGAAGTAAAGCAATGTCAAAAATTAGATACCAAATGCAAAATTCCACCCAAAGCACATCTTAGAAATGAAGATGCTAAAAAAATTCCACCCAAAGCACATCTTAGAAATGAAGATGCTAAAAAAATTTACATAATGTTGTAGGATAAGTGACTTAAGTCCAGAGTAGTTGAATCATGAAAAGGCAAATAACTAACATGCCAGGCAATGTTAAAATAGACAAGGAGCAAACTTGCTATTATATGCTTGACGAGTTTCATTGAAGAAATACCTTTTTAACTATAATAAAAAAACCTCACTAGTGTATACTGTAGTGTTATATCACATAACCATAATTGTTTTTGATCAAAATGATTTTGAGAGAGAAATTTGAAGCTATTAAAACACCCTAAAGGATATAGATTGCTGAAGATGTAAATGGAAACCAAACCACCACTTGGGAACAGACAAGAGAAATGAGGACTACTCATATGAGTACTGTCATTCACCTTCATCATTTTGGCAAGGTTAGCAAGAAAGATTGGACAGATTGGATTCATAGTTAAGTAGGAAAAAACTGCACCAACTTGTGATTGCATGCATTTCCTTGTTTAAACGCTAAAAAATTGAGCTACTCTTGATTGTGCTGTAACATGTCATAAAAAAAAAACTTGCTATGTGATTAAGAAATAATTCTAGCATCCAGAAACAAGTATTGGACTGAAGACAGAAGGCCACTCAAATTTCTAAGCCAAGTTGATGTCAGTGTAGAGTCCTACTACCAGTTAGATGAAACTCAGAACGTATTATGTTTAGAGCTACTGCCCAAAAAACTCTACAATCAGTATTGATGTATAATGTCATCAGTCTGATGTACATGCATCTTAACATTAAAATAATTAGCTTTGCTCAATTACGAAAGCAATCTCATACAGCATATACAGCTTCTGAAACACTGAAAAAACTGATAAGTGAAACAGTTTTATGAAATTTGCAATTGTAAAAGTTGTAAAATAGAAAAATTCATTAAAAATATCTACTTTAACAAACAGAATCATTACCAGCTAGACAAAGTTGTATAGTTGAAATACTATTTAACCCCTTTACCCTGGTCACGAGATTTTTTGTCACTTAGTGTATATTAGCTTATAATTTAAAATATTTTGCTTTCTTAAATGATGTAAATCATCTTAATGAATGGATGGTCATGAAAACTGAAACTAAAATAATTAATTACATAAACTGAGCGAACAAATATTGATTTAATGCAGATCTTCAAGAGCCAATAAAAAAAAAAAAAAAAAAGTGCCACTTAGAGAGTTAATTAAATAATTCCCTCAATATTCATAAAAGGTGTGTCAGAGGATGGAATCTGAATTTGCAACTAATTTCATTGTTACACTAATTCATTACTTGTTCATGCATTTTTAGAGAAAACCTTTAAATCAAAGACATGTTTTCTTAACTGAAATACTACTCAATGAAAGAAGAATATGATTTAAACAGCACCCTTTTGATTCAGACCTTAATTTTAGTGATTATTTCATGTTGGACAAAACTGATTTCACACAAGAAACTAAAATCAATAATTACATTTGTGATTATGGCTGTACATTCTAGTGCACTAAATGATGAAATTATTGAGTTTAAAATCTAAGGGAATGCAACACTTAATTGCAAAAAGCATGCTTTGAAAAATCTTGCATATTAAAACTCATTTGCTACATTGCTAATTAAAACTAATGGCTATCTCCTGCAGTTTTGATATACAGTGAAATAATGTTTGTATATTTCTATTTCTGTAATAGTAAGATATTTCATTTTAGAGATATGTGACTTCAGTTATACTTTAACTTTTCCCTGATTTACTCACAGGAATTTTCTCTAAAATAATTTCCCCCCTTTCCTTATCATCTGGGTATTATACATTGGTTTACGAAGGGGGGGGGGAAGACTTGGGATATCTCAGATGAGACAGGAGTTTACACTAATCTGGTTGACAGAATAGAAGACATGGTTAGATATTTATATTACACAATGGAGTGTGCTGACCAGAAGTTTTTACCTATGAAAGATGCTTCAGTCCTTTGTTATTTGATCAGTATATTTCAATTGGAGGATTGTTTATCTGAGGACATCAGAAATTTTTTTCTCAGGCAAAAATAAAATCTATATCTATGCAAAACATTTTCTGGAAGAAAGTGTTATTTATTCAAGAACAGCAACTGAAATAAAAGTACGATTATTCTCATTTTTAATTAAAAGCTATGCAATTTTTTAATTCTTAAATTTTTTTGAAAACAAATTTTAACTTTTTAAAATGTAACCAGTATTTTAAACAATTTAAGACAAACTGACAACTTTAAATTTATCTAATAGCACTAGCATAGTAATAATATTAAAAGTTTATGTATAAAATATGTGCATCACATTGTTAAATTTTGCTTATATGTCTTTCTATATTATACACCATTTTTAAATAGTTCCTTGAAAAACATAAGCATCAATATGTATAATAATGTTTTACTTTTTATTATGCTATTTATAACACAACAATTTTCCATCATTATCTGATTCTTTTCAGGAAGCTTACGGGCTGATAATAAAACATATGCAACAAATTCAAAAAACAGGTAAACAGAAACAAGTTTTCAGGTTACTTAGAAATAGACTGTTCCTATTTGTACAATAAAATATAACTTAAATTTAATTTTAAAAGCAAGTTTCAGGTTATAGCATCCTAAATGTACATGTAGTTTTTGCAAGTAAATTTTTATCTTTAGAATCTTTAATTGGATTTTCAATTTTAATATTTAAAGAAAGATTAGTAATTTTTCCCATTCAAAATTATGAATATTCAAATCATCAGTTTACATAATTTGATCATATAGCCAAAAACATTTTGCATCACATAGCACACAAAAAGGATTAGATAGCTATTTATATAATGAGACACCAAGACAAAAATATTAAGGATTTTGGAATAGATGAAAATTATAAATACAAGAATTAAAAATTATTTTGTAAGAAACACACCACTACATCATTTGCCAAATGAATCATAAGTAAATGCCAAAGGCTTACTAAAACCATTCAAATAATTAAATATGAGTCTTTTTAACTATATGCGAGTATTTCTAAGAAATTAATTTCCAAGCATAGATAGCTCAGTCTGAAGGTTTTTTCCAAGAAGATTTAGAACTAAGTTTACCTCCATACAAGATTGATATGTGATACAAACTTATAATTATTAACTTCTATTTTAAATTAGATAGATAAGTTATTACAATAAAGCAAATAAGGGTTACTATTCTGAGAAGGAATTCCTCTATGGACATTCTAAATTAAAGTGGCCTGTATATATGTAACACATGATAAAAATCCATGCAGCCAGCCTATTTATCAGTATAAAATACAGGCACTCAGCAGCCATATCACTCGATCACTACACCTAGTTGGGCATAACTATGATTCAAGTAGTCAAGCAAATACAAAGAGCATTTGTCAGTAGCTAAGTATTGAAATACTTGTGAAGTAGACATCGATTCTAGGTAACCAGAAATTTATCCTTAACCTAGTATCATAAGAGCCAATGGTTGAATTTGATACATAATCATATGAAATTGATTAAATACTAATGGAAATTCATGCTTTGCAGATAGATAAGTCTATCTAGAAGTTGATCACAGTTTATATCATGGCACTATTTGATGTAGAGAAAATCAAGAACTTTTGATCACCCTTGAAGTGTACCTCAAAGTGGTGTACTTTGAGGTACACTTCAAAGTAAAACAGACCTCTAGCTGCTGATAAATGGACATTTCAGAACTGACAATCATACAGAAGACCATCAGGAATACAAATCTTTAAGTTACAAAAATCATACCCCGAGACTCTCATGCATCTTTAGCTTCATAAATGGAAGAATTCTTTCTAATGAAGGCTTCTGTACACCTGGAATGATTAGCTTTATTTTTTGACTTAGCTTTAATTAAGCATATTAAGCACTTGAAGGGGACATGGATCTTCAAACTATAAGTCAATACTACTAAAAAACTAACACTTTTGTGTGTGTGTGTTATCTATTACTTCCAGGTAAAAGGCATTATCATAAACAGTCAGGAATACTGTTGATGGTTATCCTTTCTATAAGATGTGACTACAGCATAACCATATCTAATTTTTGTGTAGATTCTTCTATGACGTAATTTTTCCATGAAAATTGATAATTATTTTAATGTCATTCCAAAACCCAGATTATCTTACTTGATACTTCAGCATTTTATGCATTAACCCTTTGACCGGCATGGGGTTTTGTGAAGAAAGCCCAATTTTTCCAAAACTGTTGAGAGAAAGAGTTTTTTTTTTTTTTTTAATTTTTTTTATTTATTTTTTCAATTTATCTCAAAATAACCCTAGTACTTTAAATGTTTATTTATGTAATTTTAATATATAGCCTTACTTTCTTGGACATACTTCAAGATGCAGGTACACATACTTTCTTAATGAAGAGGGCAGTCTGAAATTTTAACTGCTTTCATGTAATATACATATTTTCAGACAAGGATCAAACAATGAATAAGATTCAAGTACAAAATGTTCTTTTTTATCAACTCCTTATATCTTCAGAAAATACACACAAAATATGTAATAACAAAATCAATTTCTTTACCTATGGTCATACGAGAAGGAAAACCGTGAGGATTAAATATAATATCTGGAACCATTCCACCATCTGTGAAAGGCATATTCTCTGTTGGTATCATTATACTGCATATCCCTTTTTGCCCATGTCTACTAGCAAACTTATCACCTATTATTGGATTACGCTATTTGAAAAGAGAAATATTAAAATTAATCTTCAAGTAATCTATACAAGTTTTTAAAGAAGGGTTCAGGCAAAGGCATTTTATGGTCATAAGTATAAACGAAATATTCATAATTAGACAATTAAACATTACTAGATCAGAAACTGGTATATGAATTTTGTCTAATATTATAATTATATAATTTTTGCATAAAATTGTACAGTTAGAATCTGCTTTGAATGGTATAAGAATCAACCAACAGCAAACCAAATATGAACTGACATCTGATCAACAAGTTAACAGAGTCCACTGCACAGTCGTGTCTGCCAAAAACATTATGGTATAAAACATTGTAAGAGAAGAAAGCAAGATCGCAACTCTAAAACATTGTTGTTGAACATAAAGTGGTTAAAAAAAATTGCAATTTTAAGCAACCTCATAAAAAATAGAGCATTAGCAAAACACTGCATGATGATAACATCGTAGACATGTGTTTTTTGTGCTTTAAAAGCATGTAAGAATTTAAAGCATTTTTGTGCTTTTCTGCATTCACAAATTATTATGCAAACATTTACAACTTTTAAAGCTTAAAAAACACATGTCTGTGATGATGATGTCTTTTATTTAATAAGTACAATTATCAACTTACACAATTTTTCAATAACTCATAAAAATAAAAATACCTCTGTATTATAATATTATTATTACTCCACTTGTCCATTTATATGTTAGCAATGATACAAGGGTGTTGGGTTGAGGTATGTGAAGCAGTGATGATTGGTCAAGGGATATGCAAGTAAAAAAGTTGAGAAACATTGTTTTAAACAAAACAATAAGCAGTGACCTTCAGCTTAGGTTTAACACTAATTATTATTCAATGAAAAACTATTAAGACAGAAAACACCTACATACAGCTTAAAATGAACAAACAAAAACGAAAGCAAATGAACCATTAAGTTATGCTAGGCCTTACATATATATTACATTAAATAAACTGCAGAAGTGTTGATAGAAAGTTTTAAAATACAAGGTCCAGCTATTAATTTCCAGGACCGACGTAACTGTAGGAGAAGGAAAAGTCGGAAGATGGCACTAATGATTGCATATTGAAGAGCGTTTTCTTGCGCATGTGCAGTGCAATTGGTGCCATTTTGAAACAAGTGGTTCTCATGGAAAGGCGCATTAAAACATAGCTATTAAATTCCTACTGTCGAGTGAAAATGGAGCAAAGAATTAACACTAAATTTTGCTTCAAATTGGGCAAAACAGCTGCAGAAACCTACAAAATGTTAAAACAAGTTTACAGCGAGGAAGCATTATCCTGCTCAAGAACTTTTGAATGGTTTAAACGCTTTTGGGACGGGCTCGAAAGCGTCGAAGATGATCCACACACAGGTCGGCCGCAGTCCATACGCATGCCGGGAGCAATTGAAAAAGTTTGCAATATGGTGAGATGGGATCGTCAATTGACTATTTGAGTACTCACCATTGAATTCAACATGGACAAAGAGACGGTTCGGCGAATTCTCACGCAAGACCTAGGCAAAAGCACGATATGTTCCAGATTCGTTCCTCACCATTTAAGGGATGAACAAAAGCATTTGAGACTGGACGCATATGGCGAACTTATCGACAATACTGATGCTGACCCTGCGTTCCTGGATAGGATAGTCACGGGATACGAGTCTTGGTGTTATCAATATGACCCTGGAACCAAGCGTCAAAGCTCCGAATAGCAGTCTCCAAGCTCACCGAGGCAGAAAAAATTTCGATTTAAAAAGTCCAAAATCATGTTATCGCTTTCTTCGATTGCGATGAACTCATTCATCATGAATTTCTTCCTCCTAACATGACTATCAATGGACAGTTCTACACATAAGTTCTTGACCGACTTCGAAAACGAATTCGTAGAGTGAGGCCTCATTTTCAACAAAATGGGAGTTGGCTGCTGTTACATGACAATGCCCGCCCACATACTGCGTTGCCTGTGAGGCGATTATTAGCCCAGCATGGTGTCGTTGAAATGCAGCATCCACCATACTTTCCAGGCCTAGCACCCGCAGACTTTTTCCTGTTTCCTAAGCTGAAAAATTCGCTGAAGGGAACAAGATTTCAGGATGTCAAAGCGATCAAGAAAACTGGAACGTCACTATTAAAGAGCATTCCAAAAGAGGACTTTAAAACTTCTTTCCGAAATTTGTACAGCCAAGCACAGATGTGCATTACTTTGAATCATATTAAATGGCTATGTGTTTAACCTTTTTTTCTTCGGAGTTATACCTTGAGTCCTGGAAATTAATAGCCAGACCTTATATAAAGCAAAACAAAATTAAGGATTAATTGGACTGTAATAAAGTCATATATAAAATATATACTATAATTCTTTATTAATACGAGTTCATATTTTTATTATTATTAAAGCATTTTGTAAAATTACAATTAGAAATAAGTACCTATATTAAGCATGAGAAATTTGAAGCAAAAAACAATTTTTTTAAAATTTTATTTTAAATATACATTGCATTACAGTTACAAAATATTAAGGGATAACTGTAATGGCAATTGCCATTAAGGGAAAATTATCATCACAGTTACAAAATATAAAAGAATGTTCACTGAACTATCCAAACCAATTTTATGACTGGCCACCTTTTGCTCTAATAATGACACAATTCCCTTTGGAATTAATTTGATATAGAGCTGAAAGAAGGAGATATTTCTAATTATGCAATATGCAAAGCAAGTCATAAAAAGCAAACAGGTTGATAACAGCACTGTAGAATCTCACACATATTCCAGCAGAATCAGAAAATTAGAAGAAATGTTTATGCAATCTAAAAGCTTTTATAACCATCCAACAAAACACAATTTCAATAGTACCATATCTTTTTGAATGTCTTCTACCCACTTGAAAAGCACAGTATGTGTTGGACCACTTAAAAGCAACCATTAATCTGGACAGGTCTTACAAGGTATGGAAGAACCACTGCATCGTAATAATGCCAAACATGCACTTGATTATTAGTTTGATGCAACAGAAAACAGAGCACTCTCTTTCAACCTTCAGTGGTCCAAAAGGCATCTTCTAATGACCAAATAATAGCACTTTTCTCAGAAATCTGTTTCGCCTGTTCCTGCCTTTGGTCAGTAGGAGATTTTTATACGAGCAAATATAATCACAAAAATTGGCCTTTTTTTCCCATGACTTTAATTTCAGTACTTGCATACTCCATTTGTCTTGTGAGCTGTTTCTACAATGCTCCGAGACTGCATTGTATTAATACAGTTTTCTTTGCCTTCTCTCAACACAGCAGATGTCTGAAGTGCCATTCTGTGAGCATATTAAATATACTTGATCTTTGGTAATTGCTTAGCTGCCCAGCTAATGAAACTCAGGCTTTCATTATAGGTATTTCAATACTCCAGACTAGATACTCCCAACTGCACAAAGGTAGATTTAACATAAAACTTTAACTCAAGAAGTGACTGCATATGTTGAAGTTAAAATTCAATGAACACCCATACATTAAAAATATTTCCAAACCAAGTGGGCACTGAAGCTGATAAGAAAGTTATAATGCTGGTTACAAGTTTCATACACTCTAAAATCTAAATAAAATACTTACAGGTACGCGGAATTTAATACAAATTTGTTGTTTTGTATCTGTACCATCATCATTTCCCAAGAGCTTCACATCATGAACATATGCTTCTTCCATGGTCTTGTATTTTACAGATACTCCGTCTCCTGTGTTAGTATCAATATAACTACAAAGTAAGACAGGTTAACATATATAAATCAGTTCTAAATGCATTTATATTACATAAATTCAAACATTAAAACATGTCTAAATTCTCAAATGTTCTCACCTGCATATTGGATCACCATATTTCAATCTTGTACCAACATACGGTAAACCATCTGCATCAATAAATTTAGAATCTTCATCATTTTTTCTACCAAAAGCCAAAGTCTTCCGGCTGCCCCGATCACCAGCAATAACACGTAAATTAATTATTTGAGATTTAAATATATTTCCTCGTTTAAATCCTCTCTCAACAGAAGATTTGTTTAGAACAATAGCATCTTCCATATCAAAACCCTATTAAAAGAAGAATGAAAAATGGAGAGAGAGAGAAAGAAGGCTTAGATACATTTTTAAGTATCTGGTTTTCCAAAATTAATGAATATTTTACAAATGATGACTAAATAATATAAATTCAAACTGAATTCACAGTATTCAAAGACTGAATTTATAGTAGTATATAAATAAATGCTACTATAAATTCAGCATATGCATGCTAAGTAAGCTGCAATTACTTTTTAAATCTAAATAATGCTTCACATATAAGCTCATATTCACACTATAGCACAAATATCAAAATTGGCATAAGCCATAACTGCCAAACTTAAAATCCCTGTGTGCCAACATTGTTTCAGAGGAACTGCAAAGAACTATATGTAATTCAATTCTGACATAAAATATATCAGCACACTTAACTGGATATTTTAAATTTTATGTTCTTTGGTTACTTTCCTTTTTTAGTTTTCTTACATTTTTACATACAGAAAATTTTGAGTGTTGAAAGAAAGCTTTTTTTTTTTTTTTTTTTTTTTTTAAAGAACTTTTAAATACTATGAAAACGTGATTACTAATTAATGTAAATAGTATTTGTGTGGATAAACTTAGTAATCTACCATATATAGATGTAAACAAAATTAAATATGAGTATTAACAAACAAACACTGCTTGTAACTTCATATAAAAATTTATAAATCTCTATAGTAGATTAATACATCTCAGATCAAATGAAATTTAATAAAAAAAGTGTAATAAGACCAATAAAATGCAATAAGAAAAAAAGTCAAAGAACTTGCAAGAAAACCAGGAGGTTTTCATGCTCAGCAGCGACACCATTTCAAATTAACTCCAAACTGACTTCTAATAATTCACATTATAATGCATGATTCAGATTATTGAACTATTTGTAACACAATTCTGATGTAAAATGTATTAACATTTTATTACTTTTCTAAATTTTATGTTCTTTTGCAGAATTCATTTAAAAATTTTTCTTACAATTTGATACTGAGAAAAATTCTGCATAGTGAAATTTTATTCATCAAAGTACTTTTAAATATGATGAAAATAAAATTAGTACAAAGTGCACCTGGTATTCATATGGATAAACTTACTAATAAATCATATATTGAAATAAAATTCAATATACAGGGTATCTAAAATTAAAGAAACCTATTTGAAAGCTGCCTACAGGTAAAACCAGTCACCAGAAAATGTGAAATTTTGTGGTGAACTTGATGAGGAGATGAGAATGTCTTTCAAAAGAAAAACCAAATCAGTTACGAATATTGGCACCAGAGTTCACTGTATTAAAAAATTACACCTTTAAAACAGCTTTACAAATTTTATTAAAACAAATCATGTTTCATATCTTATCCATCATTTCGAGCTGCCTTCTGAAATTGAACGATTGCATGTTCCACAGTTGACTGGGAAATGTTGAGCGCATGACATGAAATGCTAGCTTTAAGATCAGCTAAAGTTCTTGGATTGTCATGGCTTACTAAGTGTTCCAAATGCCCCCAAAGTCAAAAATTGAATGAATTGAGGTCAGGACAGACCAATGACTGAGCATTTCACTGGACTCCTCACTCCTGGAAGTATGAGAGAGAATAAATGATGCAGAAAATTCCCACCATACTGTCACTTTTGGTGAATGCAATGGAACCTCTAAGATAGAGTGCATATTTTCCAGTTCTCAAATTCAGCATTTGTGAGTATAGTGAATTCTCGCAAACTTGACTTCCGAATACTCGATATTTTGTATAACTCAACGATCACTTTTTTCCTTGTATGAAAAATGAATTATTGTAATTGGTTAAAAATTTCAGTTATCAGATTTCAACAGAAATATGCATTTTGACCCTTTCCTAGTCCATTTTTATTATTCTTTTGCCTGATGTCTATAACTACAGAATGAAAAACTCTTAATTTCAAAATGGATTGTAATATGGATTTGAAATGGATTTTTTCGTGATTACTGTACGTTTCTGCAAAAGTATGTATATACCTCACATAATTCAAAAGCGATTAGTCATCGAACGCTGAAATTTTGTACATAGGGCTGCTATAAAACTAGTTGTGCGAATTCCTTTTCTGTTGCAATTGGTAGTACCAAATGTGTGTACATACATATAAACACGTATAAAAGTAAAAAAGCAAATTTAAAGCCAAAATAAAGAAAAAAAAGGCAAAATAATTTTTAAAAAATGTGCAAACATATAAAAGATTTAATTCTCAAACTAATCTACAATATCATTTAAATTCAGAAGCATAAGCAAATCAAGTGCAAAACCAATCCATGAAAACAAATTCACTAATTTAGCAAATTAAAATTAAACAATTTTTTTTTTTAAATGCATAAGTGAATGACTGTTGAGTAGGCAGGAGACAGACTTATCAAGGGGGAAGTTGCCTCCAAACCTAACTCTCCAATCGTTAAATTCGTGTTTCGTCATTCATGCAGGCAAGGGTAAAAGTCAAAACCTATGTAGAGAGAGAGAGATACAAATATATATGTACCCAAACCCATTACGCAGTCTTTATTTCTGAAATCACTGGTTGCGGCCATACGCTTCCAGTTACAGAATTGTTTTAAATAATGAAAATATTCATGTTTTAGCATCCTCAAATTAAAACAAAAAGTTATTTTGGACAAATAATTAAATGTATCTTTCAACGTGGCCTGCTGGTTACTACACTTGTAGATGGGAAGTTTTATACTTGTTAAGAAAAAATAAAAATACAAGAACTCCTGTATGCCAAAAATTTAGTGGAATATTTAATTTCAAAATTTGCAACTTTTGATGTAATTTTCAGTTTGTCTTGAGGTTTTAATGAACTAAGTTAGGACAATTAGAGGATATAAGTTTAAATGAAATGCAGCCAAAAAATATGTATAATTTAATATGCTTACAAAAAAGCCATGTGTTGTCCACAAGAGATAATTTTTCAATGGCTAATTGTTTTCTGCCGGTCAAGCAGAACATAAGCTTTGAACTGTTGTGTTAGATTACCATAATATAATGGTGTAGAACTTAACTGGAATTTTAGCCACCCAGGGCAATACTTGAAATCCATCTAGATGACTTTCTTCCCAAAACAGATTGTAAAATGGATTCAAAAGAGATTTTTTGGTACATCAGTACATATGTATCATTATTGCATAATTAAAATACGATTAGCCGTAGAACACTGAAATTTTGTACATCAGACTGCTATAATATCTAGCTGTGCACCTTAATTTTTTCTCGCAATCGGTCGGTGGTATCAAACATATACAGTACAAAGTCCGAAATCCGGTTTGGTGATTCCGGATTTGGGACTTTTCCGAATATTAGATCATCAGTTTAAATCAAATAAGATGGCATGTACAAATTATAAAACTAAAAATATGAAATCGTAATTTATGAAATAATGAAGTATTTATGATTTAAAGGGTAATAAAATTTACAAAAAAAGGCTTAATATTTATTTGTTTACCTTATTAAACATTTGTTTCAATGCAAGTTGTTTAAGTTGCTTCGTTTTTTTGTGCTAATACTTTAATTCTATCGACAGACATAATCCTCGTTCAAAGTTCCCCACTCCTGTCATTGCTCTGTCGAAAATTCCGACCAACTTCACAACCAAAATTTTTTCGTTTTCAGTAACTTCTCTGTCCCATTCTTCACTATCGATAGCAGTATTTTTTGGATCTAGAACCATACTACAGATTTTGCTATTTATTAATTGACTGATGATTGAGAAGCATTGTCATCATAATGAAAAACTTCTTTTATATCATCTGCATTTATTACCGCTTCTCCCCATTTCTTTACAAAATCCGTTAACTGGAAATTTCACCTTGTTTTAGAATCCGTAAACTTTAAAATCGCAGCTATCTACAACATTTGGCTATGCATTATGGCTTGGCTAACGACAAGTGTTCTTTAAATTTTGTTCTCTATCGCGTACTGAGACAATTAAGCCTGAATTGTATTAATTTAGTTATTTATTATACTTCTTGCACATGCTTAAGGCTTATCAGAGTTCTGAATAAACAAATTTCAAAATATACTTAAGCCTTATTGAGGGCCAGTGTTAGATCTAAATGTAATCTATGAGTATCACCACCAAAATTTATTTTTAGCATATGAAAAGAAATTTTTGTTAAATTTTTCCTTGTCAAAATTTTTTAGCACATTTAACTTAAATCTGTAATCATTGCCAAGCATAATGTCAACATAAAAGGTTAACATACATAGTTAACCTTCATTATTCAATTACTAACATAAAAAAAAAAAATTGTTCAGGCATCACTACATGAGTTATTACTCAAATTGTTATGTGTTGATAAACATGCGGTGATGAAAGTAAAGTATAATAAACAATGATTTGTCAGATCAACGATGTATCTATGTGGAATGTTTCGGTTTGAGATGTGTGCCAAGCAGATATGTAGCAATGGAGCCAAATTACTGATTGTACAAATTTATGCTAGAATGATTGTTTCTTCAATAACAAAGAATTTTATTTAGTGTTGAAGTGAAATTAAGAATCGGGACTCTCCATATGTTTTATTATGCACAGAGGAGGGAATCAAATGCACATGTGCAAAGCCTAAGCGAAAAACGTTATTGGGGGTTTTGAGGTCCGGATTTTAGATCATTCCGGACATTGGATGTCCGGATTTCAGACTTTGTACTGTATATACACACCTACCAGCTTACGAGGTATTTATTTTTGAAATCGCTGGTTGTAATCATATACTTCCGAAGTGTTTCAAATGCCAAAAATTTCAGGTTTTTGCAATGTCAAATTTAAAGGAGAAAAAATTAATTTTCGACAAATAACGGAATCTATTAACTTTTAATGCAATTTCTTGGGGTTTCTATACTTATATGAAAAAGTTTTATATTTGCTATGAAAATTTAAAATTACAAGAAGTTTGACTTGAGCATGACAAAAAATGACCGGTATAGTTTATTTCACAATTTACAGATTTTGAAGTATTTTGAACTTGCTTTTAGGGATCACTT